TGTGACAGAGAACAAGTCTCCAGCTCTACCTCCTCCATCAGACTGATTGTCTGTGGCTGCAGCAGGCCTCTCCATACCTGAGAGTTTCCAGTCTCCAGTGTGGATCCTCCAGTCCATCAGACAGCAGCTTCACTCCTGAGTCTCCTGGGTGATTGTAGCTCAGGTCCAGCTCTCTCAGATGGGAGGGGTTGGAGCTCAAAGCTGAGACCAGAGAAGCACAGCCTTCCTCTGTGATCAGACAGCCTGACAGGCTGCAAACACACAAAACAACACACATGTCACATGATCTGAGGGATCTGAGGGAACTGTGAGGGCTGGAAGGTTTATGTTTATTACTGTCATCACAAATCTGTTTGTCTGTAAACTTTAAACTTAGTACTTAGTCCAAGAAAAAGTAATTCACAGGGTCACCTGAGAGTCTCCAGTGTACAATGTGGACTCTCCAGTCCTCCAGACAGCATCTTCACTCCTGAATCCTGCAGGTCGTTGTTACTCAGGTCCATCTCTCTCAGACTAGAGGACTGGGAGCTGAGAACTGAGGACAGAGCTTCACAGCTTCTCTCTGAGAGGTTACAGCCACTCAGTCTGAAGAGACAATGATGAAGAAAAATAAACAATGAGTAGAAAAGATAGCAGCGTATTTAAGTTATGATATATATTCTACCCGTAGGCATCTTCGATTCCTCTCCCCGGCTGATCTTTCCTCTTCTGTTACCTCTGCTCTCCCTGACCCTGAATCCTTCTCTCTCCTATCCCCTGATACTGCTACTGACCTTCTCCTCTCCACCATTTCCTCTTCTTTGGACAACCTCTGTCCCTTCACCTCCAGGCCTGCACGGCCAACCCCACCTGCCCCATGGCTGTCGGACTCAGTGCGTAATGACAGACGGAGCCTAAGAGAGGCTGAGCGAAAATGGAGAAAAGGCAAACTCCCGGAGGACCTTCTTAACTTCCAAGCTCTTCTTTCCACTTTATCTACTGCTAAAGCTGCATTCTTCCGCTCCAAAATCCTAACCTCTGCTTCCAATCCTAAAAAACTCTTCGAAACTTTCTCTCCACTCCTCCAACCTCCAACCTCCACCCCCTCCTCCTACTTCCTCCCTTCTCCCTGACGATTTCGCCAACTTCTTTGACAAGAAGGTAAACGATATCAGGTCCTCCTTCTCTCAGCCGCCTGGCCCCTGTCCATCCTCTCCCTCACTCTCTCAGTGTCCCTGTCCACCATCTCCAGCTCTTCCCCCACAGTTCTCCCTCCCCTCTCCATGCCCCATTTTACCCAATCTTGCTCCCCTCTCCCCTAACGAGGTCCTCAACCTTGTTACATCTAACCGCCCCACCGCATGCTCCCTTGACCTGATTCCCTCCCCTCTTCTTCAGTCTATTGCGATTGAACTCCTTCCTTTCCTCACCCACCTCATGAACACATCTCTTGTTTCAGGATGCTTTCCCACGGCTTTGAAGACTGCCAGAGTCACCCCCCTTCTGAAAAAACCATCACTTGACCCCTCTGATGTCAAGAACTTCAGACCGGTGTCTCTTCTACTCTTTCTTTCCAAAACACTTGAACGTGCTGTCTTTACTCAACTATCCTCCTATCTCCACCAAAACAACCTCTTGGACCCTCACCAGTCCGGGTTTAAAGTGGGTCACTCGACTGAGACAGCCCTCCTTGCGGTGACGGAGTCGCTTCACCCCGCGAGAGCTAACTCTCTCTCTTCTGTCCTGATTCTCCTGGACCTGTCTGCAGCGTTTGACACGGTGAACCACCAGATCCTCCTCTCCACCCTCGAGGGGATGGGCGTCTCAGGCTCTGCACTCTCCCTGTTTGCATCCTACCTGACAGGTTGATCCTACCAGGTGACATGGAGGGGGGCCGTGTCGGAACCACGCATGCTGACTACGGGGGTTCCACGACGCTCAGTCCTGGGCCCCCTTCTCTTCTCGCTCTACACAACATCTCTGGGTTCTGTTATTCGCTCGCATGACTTCTCCTACCATTGTTAAGCCGATGACACCCAGCTGATCTTGTCATTTCCCCCCGGTGACACTCAAGTGGAGGCACGCATCGCTGCGTGCTTGGTTGACATCTCGAAGTGGATGACGACGCACCACCTGAAGCTCAACCTGGACAAAACCAAGCTACTGTTCCTCCCGGGGAAGGGTTGCTCGCACCGAGACCTGTCCATCACCATTGATGATACCGTGGTGACGCCAACTCGGACAGCGAAAAACCTGGGTTTGACCCTGGATGACCAACTGTCGTTCTCAGCAAACATTGCATCGGTTACACGCTCTTGCAGATTCCTGCTCTACAACATCAGGAGGATTCGCCCCTTCCTCACTGATGAGACGGCGCAGGTGCTAATCCAGGCTCTTGTCATCTCCCGCCTGGACTACTGCAACTCACTACTTGCTGGAGCCCCGGCGTCGGCCATCAGACCTCTGGAGCTTGTCTAGAAAGCTGCAGCTCGCCTGGTGTTCAATCGCCCCAAGTTCTCCCACACAACTTCCCTTCTCCGTTCTTTACACTGGCTACCTGTAAGAGCTCGCATCCAGTGTAAGACTCTGGTGCTAGCCTACAGGGCAGTGAAAGGAACAGCTCCTTCCTATCTCCAGGCCACGGTCAAGCCCTACACTCCCGCCCGACCACTTCGCTCTGCTACCTCGGGGCGACTGGTTGCCCCGTCGCTCAGAGGTCCCTGCGGCCGATCGACCCGGTCGCGGCTGTTTTCTGTCCTGGCCCCACAGTGGTGGAATGAACTCCCCACTGACGTCAGGACAGCAGAGTCGCTGCCCATCAGGCTGAAGACTCACCTCTTCAAGAAGGCCTACCCTTAGCCTTCCACTCACCACTTACTTAGCATCTATTGTATTCATACTAGCTTATTGCACTTATTGTATTCATATTAGTTTGTGGCACTTATTGCATTTGTTTGTTTCTGCACTGTACGTTGGCTCTGGTTTAGGCTCTTAGATGCTTGTTTGAAGAAAGGAGATGCACTTATGACTTCTGGTGATTAGTTCTCTCGAAAACCGATGTTGAATACACTTATTGTAAGTCGCTAAATGACTGTAATGTAATGTAACTCTCTCTGTACTTACAGAGCTTTGTTGGAGGCTTTGACCACTGGCAGCAGCCTCAGAAGAGCCTCCTCTGAAGCAGAGTATTTCTTCAGGTCAAACACGTCCAGATCTTTTTCTGATGACAGTAAGATGAAGACCAGAGCTGACCACTGAGCAGGAGACAGTTCATCTGTGGAGAGACGTCCTGAACTCAGGGACTGTTGGATCTCCTCCACTAGAGAACCAGCATTGAGTTCATTCAGGCAGTGGAACAGATTGATGCTTTTCTCTGGAGACACATCCTCACTGATCTTCTTCTTGATGTACTGGACTGTTTCCTGATTGGTCTGTGAGCTACTTCCTGTCTGTGTCAGCAGACCTCGTAGGAGAGTCTGATTGGTCTCCAGAGAAAGACCCATGAGGAAGCGGAGGAACAAGTCCAGGTGTCCATTTGGACTCTGTAAGGCCTTGTCCACAGCACTCTGGTAGAGATGTGTTAGTTCAGGTTTGCCTCTAGAGACTTCAGACAACCGGGAGGTTGTTTGTTCTTCTGACAGCAGATTCACTCCAGAGTTGATGAAGATCAGATGGACATGAAGAGCAGCCAGAAACTCCTGAACACTCAGATGGACGAAGCAGAAGACCTTGTCCTGGTACAGTCCTCTCTCCTCTCTAAAGATCTGTGTGAACACTCCTGAGTACACTGAGGCTGCTCTGATGTCGATGCCACACTCTGTCAGGTCGGATTCATAGAAGATCAGGTTCCCTTTCTGCAGCTGATCAAAAGCCAGTTTTCCCAGAGACTCAGTCATCTTCCTGCTCTCTGGACTCCAGTGTGGATCCGTCGCAGCTCCTCTATCATACTTGACCTTCTTCAGTTTGGACTGAACCACCAGGAAGTGGATGTACATCTCAGTCAGGGTCTTGGGCAGCTCTCCTCCCTCTCTGGTCTTCAACACATCCTCCAGAACTCCAGCAGTGATCCAGCAGAAGACTGGGATGTGGCACATGATGTGGAGGCTTCGTGAGGTCTTGATGTGGGAGATGATCCTCCTGGCCTGCTCCTCATCTCCGAATCTCTTCCAGAAGTACTCCTCCTTCTGTGGGTCAGTGAACCCTCTGACCTCTGTCACCATGTCGACACACTCAGCAGGGATCTGATTGGCTGCTGCAGGTCGTGTGGTTATCCAGAGGCGAGCAGAGGGAAGTAGTTTCCCCCTGAAGAGGTTTGTCAGCAGCACATCCACTGAGGTGGACTCTGTAACATCAGTCAGGACCTCATTGTGGTGGAAGTCCAGAGGAAGTCGACACTCATCCAGACCGTCAAAGATGAACAGAACCAGGAACTCTTCAAAGCTGCAGATTCCTGCTTCTTTGGTTTCACTGAAGAAGTGATGAACAAGTTCCACCAAGCTGAACTGTTTCTCTTTCAGCACATTCAGCTCTCTGAAGGTGAATGGAAATGTGAACTGTATGTCCTGGTTGGCTTTGTCTTCAGCCCAGTCCAGAGTGAACTTCTGTGTTAAGACTGTTTTGCCAATGCCAGCCACTCCCTTTGTCATCACTGTTCTGATTGGTTCCTCTCTTCCAGGTGAGGCTTTAAAGAGGTCGTCTTGTCTGATGGTTTTTTCTGGTCTGTGTGGTTTCCTGGATGCTGTTTCAATCTGTCTGACCTCATGTTCATCATTGACCTCTGCAGTCCCTCCCTCTGTGATGTAGAGCTCTGTGTACATCTGATTCAGAAGGGTTGGGTTTCCTGCTTTAGCGATCCCCTCAAACACACACTGGAACTTCTTCTTCAGGTGAGATTTGAGTTCACGCTGACAAACTGCAGCAGGAAGTCCTGAATGACTTCCTGAATAAAAACAAAGAACA